TTGTACGGAGGAGGGTAAGGCTGAGAGATGCTACGCAAAGGGTTGGTGTCCTGCAGGACATCTCAAGACCTCGTGGCGTGGCTGAGCATTAAACATCCTTTTTTCAGGGCAGCCCTGGTACAAGTAAAAGAAAGTATCAAGAAATCAGGATATGGATAAAATAAAACAAAATATAAATGAAATAAAACAAAGTAAGATCGAAATGAGATGAAATGAAATGCTATGAAATGAATGAAATGAAATGAAAATAAAATGTAAAATAAAGTAAAATAAAATAAATAAAATAAAATAAAATAAAATAAATAAAATAAATAAAATAAAATAAAATAAAATAAAATAAATAAAATAAAATAAAATAAAATAAAATAAAATAAAATAAAAATAAGCCCTGAAGCCCCCAGGAGGCTCCGTCCTGGCGAGCACAGCTGCCCGCAGCTGGCCGCCCCGCACAGGGCCAGCTGTTCCTGCAGCACGGGGAATGAGGCAAGGCAGATGCTGGCAGCCCCCGCAGCGTGGAGGCCAAGCCGTTTTTTCCATTCACCGGAGACAAAAGAGGAAATGGGGCTTGGATTGCTGCCCCCTGAGCAGGCTGCAGCGGGTCCTCGGCTCAGCCAGCCTGGGTTGTGCTCCCCAACGAGTGCCAGGACGTCCAGTCGAGCATCACCGAGAGTATTTCATTTTTAAGGCATGAATTAGGATGCACGTGAAAGCCAAGAAGACCGTTCCTTCCCTTGCCTTGATGCTCCTTAACTCCCCGCAGCATCTCTGCACCCTCCCGAGGCTTCAGGCTGAAGCTGCTCTGCAGCCCTTCAGCACCAGATGGATAAAATATCAGGCAGAAGGCTCTGTGTGGCTGTGACAGCAGCCAAACCCAACAAAATATTTACTTCAAAGCAGGCAGAGGGATAGCTTGTCCAGCTGGAAAAAGCAGGAAACGTTTTTTAAAAAGAGGGCGAGGGTTGTGTAAGGCATGATGTTTTAATTAAATCAGGCTTTAATGATAACAGGAGTTCACGAACTTGTGTTCCAGGCAGAATGCAAGTGTCCGTCTGTCTGTGTGCCTCCCCGTGTCCTGCCACAGGAATCGGGCAGTGCTTTGTGGATGGGACGAGGAGGGAACGGGGCCGGGCAGGAGCTGAGCACCTGGGTGTCTGTGGTCACAGGGACTGGATACGTTCCCTCCCGCGGGCCTTTCTGCTTTTCCAAATTAATTTTGGCTGTTTGGAATTATCCAAAGTCATCTAGACCTGCAAGTATTGTGTCCCTGGGCAAGCCTGGGATCGGGTGAGGACAGTCAGATGGATTTTAGCACAGACACCAAAGGCAGATCCTTCCCATGGGCTTGGGGCATGCAGGAGCAGGTCCTTTCTTTTGCTTCTTCACCCAATAAGCATGGATGATGCCATAAGGACAGAGATAAAAGGGTCTTTTTTAAGGTTTCTTCAGCTATTTAAGTAAGTCCCGTGTCCACAGACGGGCTGAAAGGCAAGGTCTGCACTGGGCTGTTGGAAACAACCCTTATGTTGCCAGTCCCAGCATCCATTTATTTCAATGGTTATTTATGTAAAACAAATTTTTAACCTCAAAGCAAGGGCTGTGGGACATGAGGAGGACTCGAGGCAGAGCTCTGCTGGGTTTGGCCTCACCTGAGGCAGCTGAGGACATCCACTCGCTGGCGCTGGCTGCTGGCAGGGGCCACAGCTCCTTCCACCCACGCGCCTCGCTTTTCTTTGGCCTCATTGTGAGAAATTCATTTCATGTTCTAAATGCAAATCCTCTGAAGGGCTTTCAGGATGCTAAGTAGGAATTCAGAAAGAAGAACACAAAGAAGCAAGATTTTTTTTATTATTTTTTTTATTTTTTTTGCTTTAATCTGAAAAATAACTGGCCTTGAAACCACCACATTTTTCTCCCCTTGGGGTAGGACAGAAAACTCTTGGCAGCGTTTTGCAGCACAGCCATGCTACCCCCAGCTGAGGAACCCGTCCCATCCCTCTGCATCTCACACCAGGATTTGTATTTGCTGGTCACAAGAGACCAAAAAGCAAGAAATGGGCAAAAGCAAGAATTGGTGCCTGCCCTGTCCTTGTTCTCCTGCCTTCAAAGGACCCATCGGGGGGACAGAGGGTGGTCCTTGGTCTCTAGGGACCCCTTTAAGCTGCTGTTGACTGAGTGCTTCATTAATTTTTACCATGAAAATCCAACAAGGGAAAACCAGGGAAAGAATGAATTTCTGGGGAGAAATCTCCCTTTTTTGGTTACAAACTGGGCTTGGGCTAAGTGGCACAGTGGCACAGGATACGGTTTGCCAACGATATCAGTGCCTTTCAAAATCATCCATTTGAGTGAAACATGGTCAATAATTTACTAGAAATGCAATGTTTACAGCAGAAGCCCTCCAGCCAGTGTTTGGCTGAAAACAAATCTTTCTTCTGGCCTCCAGAGGATTGATCTCCTGATCGTACCTCCCCTGTTCTGCCTTTCCTAGAAAGGGAACAGTGCCAATGGCTAGGCAAAAACACCGCCTTGCCATTTCCAGCTGCATCTCCTCAGCTGCAGGTGCCTAAAAAGTGCTCCCATAAGTGAAGACGAGCACAACATAGGGAAAACATGTTTGGTCCAGCCTGGGAGTGAGCAAACGCAGAGGTGGCAGGCTCCGAGGCCAGGCACTGTCCTCGCTCATCCCCAGCACCCCTGGTCCTGCACCCTGTGGTTTATTAACAGGAGGTGATAAAAGCCAAAGGAGCACAATGCCGCGGGGGCTGTGGGAGCAGGGAACGAGGGCAGCAGATGAGAGGAGCAGGAGCAAGGGTTGGAAGAGGTTCTGCTCACCAGGGAAAGGCTTTTGGGACCACAGCAGTGGGTGTCCGGACAGCTGCATGCTTGCAGCAGGGGGAAATGCGCTCAGTTTTTCACTTCTCTCAAAATAAAATAGGTTTTGTTCTTTTTTTTTTTTTTTTCTTTCTTTCTTTTTTCCGTGTAAAAGAATTTTGCACAATGGGGTTCCGAGAAACGAGATGCGGGCCTTTTCTTCCCTTTCCTGGAACTGCCCCCGTGTGAATCACTTGGCTCCGACCCGGGGGGTGCAGCGGCCCCGGGCTGCTCCCAGCATCTCCATTCGCGCTGTGCCACCTCCTGGGGACACGGCGGCGGTGCAGGGCTGCCGAGCCGCCCCGACACGGTGCCGAGCCCCTTCGGAGCCATTCCTGCTGTCCCAGCCCTGCTCATAGCCCTCCCCGTGCCCCCTGGAGCCCCTCGCCCCATGGCTGAGCGCAGGGCGCAGCAGCCGCCCCCGTCCCGCAGGGGCGAGGTGCTCGAGATGCTGCAGGGGGATGGAGCTTGGAGAGCGGTGCTGGGTTAAATGTGCACCGTGCACGCTGCAAAAGGGATGATTTGGGGTAAGGTCTGGGACTTGGGGCAGGAAAAAGGGCTGTTCTGCTATCTTTCAGCAAGAAATGTGAGGGGTCCCTCCGTGTGCGTGCGGCACCGCTAAATGTGGAGTTCTGGTGACTGCTCGCTCGCACTGGTGGACAAGCTGGGTGCTGGGACCCGTCTGCTTGGGCACACTGAGAGCGGATCCCCTAGGGACAGTTCTCCCTGTGCTCACCATCAGGACATGCTCCAGTGGCTTGCTGCAGTGTGCTGCTCGTTTTGGGATGGCTTTGTCACCCAGGCCCTAATGGGGTGTGCCACCCGCCACACATCATTTTGATGGCTCCTAGGGAGGCAGAACTAATGAGAAATTATGGCAATGAAGGACTGATTCATGCACAGTCTGCAAGAGATTTAGGACTCTGATACACAACCACCTCCTACCCTAATTTCCCAGCCAGGAGCATCGCCCAGGGTGCAGGCAACACCCTCACCTCATGGCTGCGAGCATCAGCAGAGGGGGAACACTCAGCTCTGCGGGCTGCAGGGGCAGGAGGAGAGGTGGTGAGGATTGTAAGGACTGAGATGTGTCTGAGGACAACCCATCGGTAACGCTGCATCCCTCAGCTGAAGTGCTGAAGGTGGCACCGCTGCCTCTCCTAGGAGCGAGCAGTCCGTGCCGCACTGCTCTGCTCCCCACCAGCGGCTTTTGGTGGATGTGAGGCTCTGCAGGTGGGAAGGGGGAGCTCCAAGTGCTGGGCCACAGAAGCTGTGGACTTGGCCAGTGTCCCCAGAGCTGCAGCAGCCACCAGCAGCAGGGATGTTCACTTCTTCCACACGGCAAACCTCCCCCCTACCCCCAGGGTTTTTGTTTGCTCAGTGCATGCCCAGACCTCACCAGCAGTGCCAGCCCTGATCTGGGGGGGGGGCAGATGGAGCCTGAGACCCCCCTCTGCCAGCAGAGGGAACAAGAAGGGCTCTCCTGCCTCCCCATCGAGTCCTGCCAGCTGCTGTGATGCCAGGAGCCGTGGTGGTCCTGAAGGTCCAATATTCGCAGCCAGAGGCACACACCTGGGGGATAAAGGTGCTTCTGTCATTTTCCTTAAATCCCACCCTCCCAAATGTACGCCCACACCCTCACTGCTCTGCCAGTGGCTGAAGCAAAAAAAAAAAAAAAAAAAAATTAAAAAAATAGTGTGTTTCTCCAAAGGAAACAGGCCAGGGAAGTGCCTTTTCCCATGCACAAGGGCAGGGTGGCCAGGTCCCCAGCAGGACAGCGGGGACAAACAGCCCGGTGGTGCAGGGTGAGAGCCACAGCTGCCCAAGCCTCGCTCCTCGCTGCTGTTCTCGTTTATAAATAGAAAGGCAGTTGGTTATTATTAGAGCTCGTTGAGTGGGTCTGGAGAGAACTGCAGCAAACCCTTCCAAAGGAGCTGCTTTCCCATCCAGCAGAGCTCCTGGGGTCACGCCCGGAGGAGGAGAGCTCCAGGAGCACCGCGAGATGCAGCACCAGCTGTGGAGCTCTCGGCACGGCTGGGGCTGGTGTGGTGCCACCCATAGGATGCTCTGTCCCCACCCTGCTCCATGAAGAAGTTCTCATCCCTACAATGGGACAGGACAGCAGCAGAGAAGCTCAGGCCATTTACTCCAGCACCTTCCACGGGATCCCAGAGGAGAGCTCCCGCACCATCACGCTGCCCCAATGTGCTCCAAGCCCTTTCCCAACCCAGGTGGGTGGCACAAGGACACCTCATCACATCTTCACGCTGCCCCACAACCTCTGTGGGACCATGGGCAGGCACAGGAAGAGGAGAATGCACACCACGAACACCCAGGAGGTGTCTCGATTTTGGGGGCTCCAGCAGAACCCCCGCCAGGTACGTTGGGGTGGCTTTTGTGTGTCATCCTCATGCGCTGCCCCAGCCACCCTCCCAGAGAGCAGAGAGCTCAGGGTGTGCCTGGGGGCTCTCAGCCAAGAGATATTTCTGGCCATTTGTCCTCAAGTCCCGGGGGATGAAATCTTTCAACAGCATTTAGCATCGGAGAGATGCGCCCAGGCACATCACGGGCTGTCTTATCATGTCTGAGCTGCTCTGCTCCACCTGATTGCAGACATTATACAGATTATTATATAAATTAAATCTCTTTTCTTGTCTGTTACTGTTGGAAACCACATTCTTCTTGTGTCTGTACATTATATCCTTCTACAACCTGTCCCTACATCTACAAAACTGCACCCAGTGATGCACGAAGATTCAGGACTGAAAACGTTTTGTTAGTGACCGTCCTTTACAGCAGGGCTGGGAGAAAAGAAAAACAAAATACGCTTGCTCAATATTTTTTAAAATAAGATTTGAAAGGAAAGCATGAGAAGTATCTATCCGGTTTTAATTTCAAATGAAAAAAAAAAAAAATATGGCTATTAATACATGTCAATACTGTTCTGCTCTAAGAAGAAAGTAAAGATAAAATCTGCAAGCTTTAACGCCTTAATGAGGCTCAGGAAAAAAAAAAAATATATTCAAAAGCAAATATTTGGGAATCTCTAGGTAATCTGTTCCATTTATCATGCTTTGGCAATCAGGAAGTCAAACTGAGGTTAGCATAATGAAGAAAATCAAACAGGCCCTTTTTCCCTGCTGCTCTAAAATCACAGAAGCATCCAGATAGGGAAAAATAAAAAAAAAAAAATAAAAATTTAAAAAAAAAAAGGAAAGGAAAGAAAAAAGAACTTCTGCCCTGCTGTCCTGCTGTCAGTGCGCAGGGAGTCTAATTGCCAAGGTTTCTTCCTGCACGTCTGAGCAGGCTATGCGAGAGGACAGGAATTTTTTAATCACAATATTTAAGCTCTCCCTGGTGACACAGCTAACGCAGCGATCCTCTCTTTGTCTGCCGGAGATGTGAAGGTAAGGATGGCTGAGAACGGAGCCATGAGCTGAGAAGGTGAAAAGGCCCAAAAGAACTCGTGGCATCTCCAGCCAGGGCTGGGGAGGTGCTGAGGGTGCAGCACCCAGGGGAGATGTCCCCAAAAGCCCCCGGTGGCACCGCTGAGCCCTGCCGTGGGTGCTCCCAGTACACGGAGCTGGAGGTGGCTGGTCCCTGCTGGGCAGATACCTGGGGCAGGCTTCGGAGGTGGTGGCTCCCCAGTGTTTCTACTCGCAGCTCCATCTCCTGGCTTGCCCCAGAACTCAGCACAAAAGTGCTGTTGGCAGCTGATTTGCTGTGGGGCAAGGTGGTCCCAGCACAGCCCCTAGGTCCCCACGTGGCATGGCAACCCCTCCTTTAGGGAGCATTTCTCTGAGGTTCTCCCTTTCTCCATCCGCAGAGCCATGTAGAAATACCCAGCAGCATTTAAACCACCTTCTCTGGCACCGAGTTCAGGGCAGGTGTCCACAGCATCGATATAAAATACCCAAAACAGCCTCAAAATGAAGGGCTTGAGCTCCACATCCCTTCTCAGCATCCCCTGCAGCCTGGGAGGCACAGTCCCAGTCCAGCTCTCTTCCCTCCCAGTGCCACCAGACTGGGCTGTGTGGGGATCCCCTCAGCTCCAGCTTCACAGAAAAGCCATTTACATCCCTGGGTGAAAGATTAAACACAGAGGTGATGCCTTATTCTGGGACAAATAGTGTCTGCTGCTATAGGCGAGGAACACGTGTGGGGCCATTTGGAGGCAGCGAGAGTGGTTTTCATCTCCTGTGCCCTCCGGCGGTGGCTCCAGTCGCTGTGCTTTGAAATCGCAGACATCTGCAGACACACAGGAGGAGGGAGTTCTCAGCAATTAGTCACTGCAAGTCACGTATGAGCATAAAAATAAGGCTGAATGTACCTCCTCGAGCTCACCGCGATGAAATTGGATCTGTGCAGCTCACAGCCACGCGCATTTTTCTCTCCAGCACCACAAAGGATTTCTTTTTCTGCAGTGCTGAGTGCCTGGTGCTGTAAAATGGGCGTTTGAACATTGTCTCTGTTCCCAAAGGTGCTGTGAGGATGAGCACGAGGCATTTTGAGACTGCCCAAGTGGTGTTGCAGAGCTCTTTCCGTTCCTGCCCTTCCTTCTGCTGGAAGAGGGGTGTAAAAAGAAATAAATGAGTAATGATCCAAAGCAAACAGAGCAGGCAAAAAAAATTTGGGCAGAAACTTGGCTGGCCGGGGCTTTTGGCTGACCCCATAGCCACTGCCCCAAGGGAACTAGCAGCAAATCCTCTCCTTTCCCACCCGCAGGGGCTGCAGCCTGGGTGCCAGCTCCGAGACCCCTGGATAAAGCTCCCACGTCTCCAGCCAGGGCAAAAATTTTCTCCTTGTCCTCATGCCACAGCATCCCCATCCTCCTGTACAGTCCATAGCATCAGGAGCTTAAAGCTTGCCCGTATCAGCAGGGACGAAGTTTTTCCTTGGTTCTTCTCTCAGAGACTTTCCTTGGCTGAAATTTGCAGAATTCATAGGAAACGAGGAGGCTCCTTGAGGTGCCGGGGCTGTGCTCCCCCGGGAGCTGGGACGGGGTTTGTGCAGGCTTGCTCCCGCACTGCCCCCAGCACCCAGCAGCTCTGCCTGCCTGCAGGAGCCTGCCCACCTCGTTTGTCATCCCTAATATTGGAAAAACCTGCAGTGCCTCCAGTAACAGCTGTCACCGTGGCACGAACACGTGTGGCACCCAGCGAGCCCTCCCAAAATCATTCTTGCACAACCCCAGGAGGGATGAGCCCCTCTGCAATCACCCTCTGCAATACCCCAGCCAGGGAGGGCTCTTCCACATGCAGCCAAACCCTGTCTTTTCCTCCTTACAAAATAATAATAATAATAATAATAATAATAATAATAATAATAATAATAATAATAATAATAATAATAATAATAATAATGATAATAATAAATAATAATAATAATGGTGGATTAAGTTCTTGCAGCAGGGCTCTTGCAGCATCCTCCGGGCTCTGGGACCTGGGGAGGGGACAGGGGGGCAGTGCTCTGCCTGGCCCTACATCTTTTCCATGGCATTCATCACCCACTGCCCAAACTCACTGGAAAAAACACGGCGCCAGGTTGAGTCCACTGCCGGACTGGAGCCAGAAGCCACAAGAAAAGAACGGCCCAATTTTGGGGCCACTTTCCCTTCTGCAGCAAAACTCGGGTCAAACAACGGGTCTGAAACCAGGAGCTTTGCACAGAAAGCTCCCGTTCACCTCCTGAGATCATCTCAAGCCTCTGGGCAAACCGTGAGGGCTCCTCAACCAGCGTTTTAGGCATAATTAATGTTCGCAGAGCAGCTTTGAAGACGAACAGCAGCTGTAGGAGGCTCGAGTGTTATTGCAGGGCTGGGAGCAGCAGGCTGAAGCCCAAAATCTGGCAGACGGCAGCGCGAAGCACCGCGGGGTCGCTGATCCAGCCTGCTGGGGCACGCCGGGTCCCGGCCCCGTGCTGGGGATGGTAACAGAGCTTCTGGAGCCTGCGTGGATTTATTGTGAGGTCAGGCCTCTACAGTGCTCCTCCAACAGAGTGATAAAATCACTCAAAGTGCACATGTGAGCGCACGTCCGAGGTTTAAGAGACCTCAGAAGAAAGCAACCTCGATGGGCAGGGTTTCCTGCTCTCTTCGGTCACCTCCTCCGGCTCTGTGCAGGGGCTGACCCACCTTGGGAATCCAGGTGAATCCACCTTCTCTCCATAAAATGACTCCGGGAACTCCTGGACATCAAATTTAACAATTTTTTTTCCAATATAAAACCAGGAATGTAGCTGAGCCACTGTGCACTTAATAAATTTGCACTTAACGCATTGATTTATTCTTTCTCACATTGAGTGTGCAAAGTCATGACCACTGACTTATAGATGCTGCCCCTAACAAGAGCTGCAAAAGGTTTAAGCCATTTACAGACACTGGTTAAATAGAAAAAAGCTTTTGAACATTTTACAAGACCAGCTTCAAAAACAGGATGTGCAGACCCTTTATCTTGGGCCGTGTTTATCCCAGCGATCAGATGTTCCACTTTGGTCTCCCCGTCAGGGCAATAAAAGCCCGACAAAAATTCTTTAAAACCAAAGTACAAGCTTCAAGTTGAGCCCAGGAAAAATAAAGGAAATTGCTGTGCTAAAAGGGGAAAAAAAAATGTGCTCTTCAATGCACAGCCACGCTCTGTGGGTAATTTCAGCCGAGCCCAAAAAAAGGGCACTGAGTTTGTGGGTGGAAACGTCAGCCCAGGGACTGTGACTGCACGTGGCGAGTCTGAAAATGAAAGCCAGGATAGGCTGGTGGAGCCAGAGAACAGCTTCTTCTTTCATCCACCTCGGCTGTCCCCAGGCTTTGCTGCCAGCCCCTGCTAATCCCCGTGGGATGCAGAGGGTCTGTGGGCAAGAAGCCCTCGGGTTGGGGTCCTGTAGATGAGCAATGCATTTACAGGGCTCTTCCTTCTGCACCAAGGTGGGGATGCTGAAGCACGATGTGCCTTACCCATGGCCAGGCAAGGCTCAATAAAGCACGAGAGGGACACAATTCACCATCAAACTCACCCACCTTCTCCACGGTCCCCGGTGCCCTCCCAGGTTTGAGGAGCCCAGGCATTACAGACCCCATAATACCTCCCAGGTATTATCAGACTGCTCATAATTCATGGTTTGTCGCACTCTGCTCACGAACACTCCCACTATATTTACCTGAGAGCCTGAGCAGGTGAAGCCTGCAGTGATTTGGGCTCTGAAATCACTGCCTGGCTGAAACATGCATTAAAAAAAAAAAAAAAAAAAAAAAAAAAACAGAGAGAAAACTACCGGCTGCCCACAGAATCAAATCAAATTAGTTCAGCTCAGCCTCCTCCGTCTTTCTTTATTGCTCAGGTAATAAAATCACGCACGACACAAATCTCTAATTTAAGGTGTATGGGAAAGCAAGTCATTAAGCTAACGGGACAGCAGTGGGAGAGCTCTGCCCAACACCAGCGTGTGCTGGGACACTGCTCCATCAACAGCTTCTGGTTATGCTACCCAGGGAGTTAAGCACTTTTTCAAACATATAAAGCAGCTCTCCAGGAAGGGATATGTCATGGTGAATGAAAAGTAAGAGCCTGAATGCTTGTGGGGGATAGAGCATCTCCCCCAGGTGATGAGCAGCGAGGATATGTGGGGCCGGCTGGGAGGTGCGGGGAGAAAAATCCTCTCCCCTCAGCTGGATGGAGGTTTCAGCCAAGCTCATCTGCATTAATTGTACACTCATTAAAATCAGTTGTTCTCTTTCTAATTCAACCAGTGCTGCCAAGCTCAAGGATTAAAAATTCATGAGCCAATGTCCCTAAAAGAAAAGAAAAAAAATAAAAAATATATCCAAAGAGGCACAGACTTTTAAAATTGTCATTAAAAAAAAAAAAAAGTCTAGCTGTTCCTTTCTGCTTGAAACTTTCAGCTTGCATTTTTTGAGGGATGGGAAAATGAACAAAAGCTGAGATTTTACACAATTATGTGACTCCTGGTGCTTCCTGGAGGCAGCCTCACAAATTGCATCACTTGTGATGAAAACCAAGAGAGGGAGCACGTCGGGTTCCCCCCATCCCTCCTCCAGTCCAGCCTCGGTCCTTCTCCTTGGAGCTCTGCCCTTGAAGGCATGGAGAACAGGGACCTTCCTCCAGCTCTCTCGTAGGTGCTGAGCAGCCCCGGCAGGAGGGTACAAGCGAGGGGCCAGAGCCCAAAATTTCTCCCAAATCCCGTGCGTGTGAGCGACAAGCAAGGAGGCGTGACTCCTAATGTGCTCCTCATTGAGGTCACCGCTGACAATAGCTGCAGAGCTGGAGACAAAGACAATAAACACCCTTTATTTGAAGCAGATGGGAACTTGGAAAGGGCTCTCCAATATTCTGAAAGCGATCCGGGATTTTTTTCAGTGGCCAAAACTAAAAACCATGCTGCCGGAGAGCCAGAGAGCTCCAGCCCATGCAAACACCCATGGCCATCATCGCCTTTGCCAGCCCAGGTGGGGCAATCGCTGTGCTGCCGTGCTCCCTCCCCCAGCACAGGGCACCAGGGTTAGCAAATAAAACCCCCACCACGCCAGGCCAGAGCACAAACAACCCGAGAAGAGGCTGGGATCAGCTCCTCCAGCAGAGTTTTTTCCTGAAGGAGAAGCAGCATAAATAAGGACGGGTTGTTAGCTGCAGCTATTTATGGAAGGCGTTCATTTCCTTCATCATCTGGATAAATATCCATTAGCCTTCGAGGTGATGAGTCAACTATTAATTAACCTGCTGGGAAAAAAAAAAAAAATGGAGATATGAATGTCTTCAAAGGAAGCTGCCAGCTGAGGGGAAAAAAAAATAGGGCATCGGGGCAATGATCGGTTATTCCTGCAAGATGCTCCCAGGTGCTGAAACTACGGCCCGGACCCTTCTTATAGGACATGCAATAAAAATGTGGAGGAGATGGGATGCACGCTGGCTGCTACATGTGCACATATATGGTCAACATAAATAAAATAAAATCAAATATAAAATAAAATAAAAAGACTGCATATGCAGTCATCCTGTTCCTGCCTCTCTCTGACCATTTTTAGCTCTGTTTTTTCCCTCTGCATATTCCCCAGTTCTCTACCCACACATGCCCACACTTCAGACAGACTATCCCAAAAAACTGAAAGATGTCGAAAAACCCACAATAATCCAGGGCCTCATCAACTTCCAGGAATGCTAACTGGCTTAGGAAACCACCAGTTCTTTTTTGGTTATTTTTTTTATTTTATAATGTATGGTGTTTTGTTTTTTTTTTCAGTCTTTTACAATCTCCTGTTTTAAAAACTGGCAGGAATTTCCTCCCTTTTCACCCTCCTCAGTCCTCTCCCTCCCCGCCTATATTCAGGGAACATCTCTCAGCAGCCCCGTTTAGCTCACATTTCAGGGCAGAGCAAACGTGCGTGCACGGAGGGGGGCAGGGATGATGAGTCAATTAGGCACCCGACAAAAATCTGATCTCCGAAATTCCCTTTCTGCCTCCAAGCGTGCCGGGAACGGTGGTGGCCACCGAGCCAGCGCTGTGCCCAACATGTCCAGAGCCTGGCAGGCAGAAAATGATTCCCTCCAGCCACACCGCTCCCATCCTGTGCTAAATATCGTGCTTGATGAGGCATCTGCCACTTAGCGTGAAAGACACCACCACAGTGTAATAAATCTCCCTGCCAGGAGGGTTTTTGCACTCCCACCAGCGCTCCGTTAGCTGCAGCGCTTCCCCTCGGCACGCTGCTGGCCGTGCCTTGCAGACCTCACGTACTGCAGCTGATTCACTCGTCCCCAGAGCAGGCAGCTGAGCTAAGCCCTTGGATCTCCTTGGACCTCTTCTGTTGCTCCCATCACTCCAGCTCTGGATTTCTGGGGCGGCAGCAAAAAGCCCCAGCGATGCCCCATTTGTCGTGCAGACGCCGCGTGTTGTACAGCCAGCACCACCTTTTCCCAGGCGTGTGCTAAATTAGAAGGGGGTGGAGGTGAGACAGGGTGCCCGTCCATCCTCCTTGCCGATGGCCAAGCCATGAAGCACCCAAGCGAGGCCACAAGCTCCTTTCCCACCTCGTAGCTGTGGCCGAAACCCAAGCCACCCGCTGAGGGGCCGTGCTGGGTGCACACGGTTGGTGCCAGCACTGCCCCACGAGAGGAGAAACTCAGCCTGCTCTGTGCTGCTGGGGAGAGACTTTTTGGGTCCGATTCACACGGTGCTGTACTGAAGGATGGGAGTACATCGGGAGGTGTTGGACTTGCAGAGCTGGCCGCCATCAGCTCAGCTCCAGGACTTCCCCTGGAGCCAGGTATCTCCTGCTCAGACCGCACGTTTCCGTTTTGTCATCTTTTGTTTTCTGCCCAGCAGAATGATTGTTCTTCCAGTTATTGTCCTGCCTGGGCAGTAATTCCCATTTCCTTCTGGGCTAGGGGCTTCTGCTCTACCTGTTTGCACCTTTGCTGCTGCCCTCTCTCATAGCGCAACTGTCCTGGCAACACGTCTAAATGTGGGCACATGCAGCACAATTTGAGAAATTTGGGCATCCCAAGTTGGGTTTTGATTTCATGGAACCGGTCAGGTTAAGAGGAGAAAATGGGACAAACCTGTCCCGAGCTTTGGCACATTCGAGCAGTGGTAATTTCAAGTAGAACGCAACACTGCAAAATTTGCAGTCATAAAAACCAGTCCTACGTGGAGAAGAGCTGAATTTTAAAAATGACCCTGTAAAACCAGGCATTTCATAACCAAGACTCTGCCCTTGGATCTATCCTTTCCAGCCAGGAAAATAAGTTAATGTTGGTGTAATTGCAGATTGACCGTTATTTACCATCAAGCTTCATAAAAATGTTGAGGAAAGATGTATGCATTTTAATTAAGTTCCGGGGGAAAAGAATGTGTACCTGGCCAGACTGCAAAGAGATGAACTCATCACGTCATCCACGCCCCAGTCTCCTGCCTGTTTTCCTCTGCAACAGTGAGATCAGCCCAGATTGCAGTCAGCGGGTTTAAAAAGCAAAGTAATCCTCTGAAAGCGCTGGGCCAGCATTTTCTCATCCCTAAGGCTCTGAGCTGGGAGCTCTCATCCAGCCACGTCTCCAGTGCAACCAGTGGGCAGGTGCTGGAAATCCTAAGAAACCTGAAGGGAAGCATTCCCTAAATCAGGGTATAGGGGCCCCGGTGGAGTTCGCTGCAGCTGCCTGACTTTTCCATGGATTGCCCAGGTCAGGCTTTGTGTTGTGGATTTTCCTTTTCTCCTGGGGAATGCCCAGCTGTGGAAGCGAGGTGCAGCTCATCCTGGGGTGCTCCTGGCACGGGTTTGTGCCCGAGCCACCACGGCCACGCTGCTCCTGCAGGGCTATGGCGAGCCAGGGGTGTGCAGCTGGCTGGGGCTGAATCCCAGTTGAATTTGGGCGTGTAGAGAAAAGAAATAACAAAAAATATATATATATCCTGAGTTTGAGCAGCAAAGCAAAAAAGGAAAACAACTCCCCTAAGTAAGTCTGGAATGTTTCTAGGCGTAGAGACAGAGCGAGGCATCAGCAGCAGCCCCCTCCCCGGGGTCAGCAGAGCAACCTTCCCCCATGGAAAATAGTTTCTGCTCTTCTCAAATACTCGGATAGATCCCCTGTGAAAGTCACTGCTCCTCTAGCAGGGTCGGATGTGGTGTCTGTGGGCTATTTAAAGACCAAACCATCTGCCCGATAACACCGCTCAGTCCGACAGGAGTGGCGCATGTGGCTGATGGCACGCACGTGGCGCCTCCATCGCGCAGCCACGGCACTGCTCCTTCCCTGAGGCTTCACAGAAAGCAAGAGCCTCGTGGAGTTTGGGTCTCATTTCCTTCTCTCTGCAGTTTTGGGTGCCCCTTGGTGGGACAATATTTGGCTACAGCCTGGGCCAAAAAAAACCTGATTTTTCACAAGGCGGTGACCAAACGGGGCAGCGTCACCCAGCCCTTCCCAGCAGCGTGCGCCTTGCAGGGGCTGAGCCAGCCCCCAGGAGCATCCCTCGGGGAGATGCCGGCGTGTCGAAGCTGCTGAGGCTGGGCTTGGTGTGGCGTGGACACAGCCTGCCCTGCCTTGTGCTTCCCATCCTGCTGGGAACAGCCTGGCTCCGGCCCCGTGGCTGACCACGAACGTGTTTGTTCCAACGCTCGTTCACACCACAGCCACGGCGCTGGCTGGAAGGACACAGCTCAGGCTCCGTGTCAAACAAAACCCATTCCAGCTGTCTGGGAAGAGAGCAGGATCTGCCATTGCGCTGCTTTGAGGGGTTTGCAGCTCGCTGCAGCGCTTTGCTCCTGCAGTTGTTTCCATAAGCAAGTCCAAGAGAGCCCACGAGCAGGAAGGAATTAGGCACTTATGCAAAGCCCATTAAAGTCAGGGGGAATCTTTCCATTGACTTCAGAGCCTTTGGCTCCCAGCCCTGCGTATCGGGGGCTGTTGTGTGGGATTTCGAGCAGGAAGCAGGAGCAGGACTCCGCAGGTTTTCTCAGCATTTGTTACAGACTTCAGCACAGCTCTCCGTGCCTGTCTCCCTGCATGTAAATTAGGAAGCGTGTAGGCACTGACTGCTCGTTCTGGATGCACAGCCCTAACTGTGCGCCTCCCCCGTCCTTCCTGGGGAAGGCAGAGCAGGACCCCTCATCAGCAGGATTAATCAGCAAGGATTCTGTATGGGTCCTGACACGTCGGTCCTGGTGCCCAACCTACATATGATGTGTCAGCCTGAGATGCACAAATGCCGTAAACCACAAACTTCGTCTGAAAACCTTGTTCACACAAAGCCCAGATTCACACCAGGGCGAATCCCCTGCTGGGACCTCACAGCATTTCACTGGTTGCACCTCTCCCTGCCTGCTCCCACCCAGCACTTGCAGAGGGATGCACGGCCTTTCAACAGAGCATAGGAACATGCAATAAAAATAAATAAATAAATAAATAAAAATAAAAAAAAGAGGATCTGAGCTGCCTCTGTTTCACACCAAGCAGCAGGGAACTGATGTGCATGCTTGGGACCTGACCTCTGGAAACCAAAGCTCTCCAAGGAGCACCGTCCCAGGCACCCAAACCTGCACACAAACAATGAGTGGGATCAATATTAGAGAGGGAAATGATGCTTGGCCTGAAGATCAGCACCCCAGAGAGCTGGTGCAGGGGTTCCCTTTGCAGGAGGATCCCTCCCCACAGCCGGGCATCTCCACCAGCACGGAGGGAGACGCGGCCGTCCCTCCTGGTGGAAATCAGGTCGGGTTTTTTGTTTCCAGCAGGCTGTGGGTTTGGAAACGAGCTTCGCTCCCACCTGCTGCACGTTCACTGGCTCAGCGGGACGAATTGCCAAAGGCACCAGGAACTGGGGGCTCGTTCGCGTGACTGAGGCTTTGGCAGAGCGCAGGCTGCTCCGCTTCCACCGCGGGGAAGCGCTGGGAGATGCCGTGGCAGCAGTTCAAGGCCGGGCGGTGCGCTACGAAGTCTAGACAGCGCTGGATGCCGGCGAGCAGGAAGAATGCCGGGTCCCTGCCCCTGCTCACTGCCTCAGCCCGAGCAGCATTCCTCAGCCGGGAGCGGGCCGGGGAAATATTTCGCTCCCTTGTCCCCACAGACCCTCGAGCACGGTTGTCTCCTGCAGGCACCTCCACCCCCAGCGCCCTGCTGGGAAGGTCGGAGCTTTGCCCTGCTGCTGCCCACACCAAGGCTTGCAAGTGCCCCAAGGAAGGGCTGTTCAGAGGGAGGACATGGGGAGAAAAAATTTACAAAGCAAGTTTTTGTTCCTACCTGGAATGAAAGCAGCACCTGCGGAGGGGCAGCACCAGGCAGCATTTCTCTGTTTCTCTGCACCATTGCAAGAGGCCCAGAGGAGAGGTTTCCAAGCAGCTGTGCTCGTCGCTGTCTGCAGCCAGGGTCAGGAGAGGAGTTTTGGACACAAACCCTCTTTAAAAAAAAAAAAAAAAATAGTTTCAGAAGCAATTTTCACTTATTGGAAGATTTCTATTTAGCCTGAGCTGCTAAATGCCTTTTCCATCAGCTGAGGGGCACGTAGTGCCATTTATAAATAAAAGAGCATTTCAGCAACTCCTGCAATACAACCCCTGAATGAGGCCGGGGGAATTGGGCAGCACTTCCCTACCCATCACCACAACCAGGGCACAGCATCTGGGCAGCACCTCCCCATCTGGATCTGTTCAAACAGCATCGGGGTCTGGGCACGGCCACCCTGCCACTCAGCAGCAGTTCCAAGGAGAAATAGGATCAAATGATGATCCTTTAGATTTGTCTCTGACCACACACCGAGCACATACGTACTGTCCTTAGGTGGGTTGGTAAATGCTTTGGATCAGTATTAACACGTGCCAGATGCTGGGGAATCAGCTCCCACTTAGGGCAATTACGAGGATGCCCCAGAAGCCAATAAAGCCATGGAGATGCTGAGCATCTGCTGGTGGCTGTCAGGCCCCAGCCCAGCAAGATAAATCTCTGTAATAAAGAGGTGTGGGTTTTATTGGTTTATGTTTTGTTTGATTGAGTCTTATGGCATTCAGCACCGGATCCACGCGATTTCTCCTCCCTTCAGGGATTCTCCCTGGGCTCAGCAGCCTTCCTCCAGCAGGATGCTCCATGGGGCTCCCCCAGCCCTGCCCTTTCCCTGCAGCCCTTCAGCCACCTCCAGCTGCCCCCAGCACCACATCAGCATCCCCCAGGTCCCCAAAACCTGTAGCAGGAGCCCAGCGTGGCCAAGCCACCCTGCTCCCTGGGCTTTGCTGAACCAGACTTCACCTGCCTGAGGGATTGCTACACTATTTAATAAAACCGAGTGTTAACATCGCCCGGGACCACAGAGCGAGCCCGCAGCGGGCGCTTTGCTCCACCGAGGTATGTGCACAGGAAGGAAAGGGAAGAGCGTGTGCTTGCCTGGCTGGATGCCCTCAGAAACCACGTCCACCCCATTGCCTCCGGGTACGTGTCCGCAGAGCGCAGAACAACAGGAAATCATTGGACGTGTATCAGCCCAAACCCTGAGAGCATCGGCCCTGCAATTAGCTATAATTAGAAATCGGCTCCGGCAGCGTGCCCCCGGCAGGATCCTTGCACACCCACACACTCCCGGGTGCTAAAATGGGGCTTTTGGAGGAACGGGATGGATGCTGATGTCTGTGAGGGCTCACCGATGAGCGAGGGCAGGGTTTGTACCCCGAGCTGATGCCAGGTCGGGTGGGCACAGCTCCTGCCCTGCTGCCCCAGCAGCCATCCGCTGGCCAGCCCCACCAAGCCAGTGGTCCCAGCCCCAAATCCCCCCTGGATATACATTTGGGGTTATTTTTTAAAGTGCCTTTCTATACTTTGGTTTTAAAACTGTAGCTTTTCTGTCTTTAATAAAAAAGATAACCTGCTGATCCACGATCCCACAGCGAGCAAAAATCAACTGGTTCCTCAAGCTCCACGTTCAGCCCGTCCTCCTCTCACCACCCAAACACCAACGGGCTCCTAACCAGCAGCTTGGATGTGGCTGAAGCCAGGGCTATTTTTGCCTTGCTAATGGCCCTGTGAGGCAGTGCCAGCTCTCAGGACCACATCCAGAACATAACGGGAGAAGCTCAGTCCAGGCAAAGAAAGATTCAGTTCTCGCTTTATTTTCAGGGCGATTTCACACTTGCGGTGCCCCGACAGCTAAGGAGCATTTCACAACCTCCCTACTTAATTGTGTCTCCAGCTAAAGCTGAACATTGTCATACAAGCAAAAAAAAAAAGAAATCCAGTGCTTATAAGATCATGGCACTCAGGGACCTGGTAAAACCACAGCAACCCCAGCTATAATCCTTGCCCTGTAATCTGCATGTCATGAATAACTGCGTAATTGGGCAATAGCTGCAATCCCGGCACACAGTTATTTGCTCTTTGTGTTGAAATAAAATGGTGGGGAAGATGGACAGCAATTGAGCGTTGTGCAGATACTCAGTAATTTTCAGCTTTTTCTATCAGCAGACTCTCAGCATCTCCCCGTCGAGGTCCTGGGCAATAAATACAGCAAAGATTTGGCCTTTGTGCGAGCTGAAGCCTGGGAAGAAAGGTGGGTAATTTGAAAAAGGGAAAAAAATAAAAAAAAGAATTGCACAACTAAAATTGATTTTTTTTTCTCTTGCTGTTCTTTGAGCTGTTTGGTTCACAGATGTTTTGAACAGCTTTTGGAGTGTCAGAGTCTGAGCCAACAGGGCACCCACCCCCCGGCCCAGGGGAAAGCTTGCTGGTTTGATCTCACTTTGGGCACATGGACTAAACGTTCGTGTTTTGTGCAGTGAAATATTACTTTTTTTTTATTCTATTTGGAAGTTTTGAGAGGCACCACCCAACCAACACAAGGCAAAGCATGGAAGAGGAGGCGAACAGACACCTCCTGTACCCCCAGAGCTGCTAGAAAACGTCACTGCTCCCAGCTATTCGTCACGGCTTGGTACAGCAGCTGGTTTCCCCTACAACTCCAGGGCCAAATTCAAGATTTTCCACTACTAAATCCACATGATTCTGTTGATTATGATGGATATTTACTAAATTACATGCAGCTCTGAATCTTCCCCTTAGCGCTTGCAAATTAAATTGTTTCCCTGACCGGTTTTCACAACGAGATCAGAGGTCCCTGTGCATCAGGGTGGCTCTGCAGCTCCAGCAGCCAGGACAAAACAGAGGAGGAATCCACCGCCTCTTGCTCCCCACCACCACAGAAGACAAACCACCGAGTGCAGGGAGAAATATTCCCTGCTCTGTGGTCACACACAGCAGATTTCATCAGATTCCAGCCCGTTTCACAATCATTTGCCTCCAGATGAGCAAGAAAGGCAGAAATGGGAATCCAAGGGCCAGCAAAATCCCCCTGCAGGAGCTCTTATCGTAGCTCGCTGGAGAAAGGTTGTGCTATAGAAACACTTCAGCTCCAGATGAATCCAGATGTGAACATCCATCATGAGGTGCAATAACTCACTTTGCATCGACTTTCACCACAGGCCCCAGGATTCAAATCCACGTTCTTCCCCAATTGCTGTAATTTTCTGCCTATCTCCTGCGATGACGAACCCGGCTAGCCTGAAACTCCCCGTGGCACTTTAATGAGCAGTTTAACCTGAGATATAATTTGCGAAGGTTTAAGTGTGTGCCCAGGAAGATCTATTTCTGCTGCAGGGACTTGTACTAAAACTGGCATCAGCCCCCTCCGAGGCTTCCCCCACCGCTCACAACATGCTTGGATGGAGAAGTCTGCCTGTGCCTTGGGGAAAACAGCCCCGTTCTGGCTGAGGGGACGAAGGAGAGAAGTGAGGGGTGGATTTGTCACCAAGGGCTGCCCAGGTATCCTCCTGACCTGCAGACCCCTTCCCACCGCCCTCCTGGCTGCAGGCAAAGCACTGGATTAGTTGCAATGCACCTTGCCTTGGTAAATCACAGCCCAGTAAGGCATTTTTAAGCCTTGACAAAGGAATTAAATCATCCCCGTCCTTCCTAGGAGGTAATAAGCAAGTGGGGTTTGTTCCCTGCTATCCTGCTGTGTCACCAGCAGCCCCCACTCCCATCCTGACCCTTCCCCATGTCTTTTAACCCACCTGCCAGCCCCTGTGCTCAGGGGCTACCAGGAAAGCTGTTTGCTGATCTTCTGCCTGAAAATCAGTGGAGCTGTGCTGCTTCTGTATGAACCCTATTGCCCCAGGCCAACCCCGTCCCTCCAGATGGCAGCTCCCTCTCTGCCCTACACGCTGTTCCCTGTCCCGGTACTCACTGAGGGTTAATAACCGAGTTGAATAACAACTCAGTTCATTGCTGATAAGAGACCACTTCTTCCGAGCCTTGTTAAAACTATCCTCGTTATTCTCTTGTTTCAATAAATGTCTCATTGCTGGCTCTCCAGCAAAACAACGAGGTCCCTGCTTCGCCCCAGCCCCTCCGCGGTGAGGGACCCCAAGGCCAAACTGGCAGGCAGGTTGAGTCAAAGGTCATCATCCAGGCTCGACTGCCCCTGCTTAAAATGCTGGAGGCATTTTATAGAGAGACATTTTAACCTACGAGAAGTCCCAGTGCCATCATTGCATCTTAATTTGACCTGAACACTCCATTTTATGGAGACAGACACAGGACATGAGAGTCACCGTTTCTCCTTAAAAAAAGGAAAAAAATAAATCTCAATATTATTGTTGACTTGCAGCAAAGTGAGCAAACAGGAAGCAAGGCTGACACGCAGCTCCAGCCCAAACTCCTGAGCTGTTTCGATGGCAAGGAGGGCGGAGGAGCCTGCAGGCTGCAGGGTGAGCGCCAGCCCAGGAGACACGCCTGCTCCGGAGTGCTTATGAATGGAGCACTTGTCCTCCAGGGCCTCCCCGGCTCCTCCATTTGTTCTGTTTTGTATGTAATTTACGCTGCATTTATTGCAGAATGAGCTATTTAATAAATCCTTGTGGCGCAGCTCCCCACGTGAATGCTCCGTTCCAAAATCGTTACTTTTGCTCCAAAATTCTGTCTTCACAGAGCCCCCAGCACAAAAAGTGCAAAGCCACCCACTGCCCTGGGCTGCCTGACACCGGCCTGGGTTAGGATGACCTGGTGAGCAGCAGAGAGGGCAGCCAGGAGTGGGAAAAACAAACAAAAACTGATGGAAATGGGAAAAACTGAGCACGGCCACAGTGCTGCCCAGAAGGAAGCTTACAAATCTCTGCAGCAACCTCAACCTCAAGAAGCAACAAGCTGCTGCTGACCATCCCTATATACCAGTGCCTATCAATTAACAGTTTTAATTATTATTTTTGACTATTGTTATAATCGTATTGTTATTAATATAATGTTTTATTATATTCCATTATATTATGTATCATATCATGTTATTTTATGTTATATCATTTTGTTATATTATATAATGTTATATTATATGATATCATGTTATATTATACTATATCATGTTATATTATACTATATCATGTTATATTATTATAACTATTGTTATTTGAAACTTTTGAAACTCATCTCTAAGCCCCAACCCCAGTGACCTCCTGGCTGCCTTCAAGCCAAACTCCTCTTGCAGCCATTTGAACCTCCAAAGGCCCGAAGCCCTTTGGAGGTTCAGGGCTCCAGGACCTCCTGCCCCAGCACAACCACCTCCTGCCCCAGCAGAGCTGCTGGTGGCCCCACTGATGAACCACATCAAAGCTGTGAACCACAAGCCTGGGGTCATGGCAGGTTTTCCCCCTTTTTTTTTTCCTAATTTTTTTTGGGGAGGGTTGGGGAGCCACATTTTCCTCCACCTCCCTCCTGCAGTGCCCTTTTCACCTGAAAACACAAAAAATCAGAGTCTCCTTCATCTCACAACTGATCCTTTGGCACTTCCAAGCCTCCCCAAAGCAGAGAGCCCGGGGTCCTTCCCAAATTCCTGATCTCACCAGGATAGAGTGAAAGCTCCCATTCTTACCTGGTGTAACAGCTTCATTTTGTCTCCCTACTAAAAACCAGCCATAATTTTACAGCCTGTCTGTGTGTGGTTTTCACCGGGACAAGATGTGCAATCATAACAGCAAACAGCAGCCAAGATTGTATAGTTTCCTCTGAATAATTTAAAGCACTGCTCTTGCAGACCAAGAGGAGTCCGCCAGCTCCCTCCATGGAGGGGCATTGGTGTAAAAACCAGACTTAACTCACAACTGATTTTCTCCTGATAAATTCCTGCTTTTCTTTTGAGAATCCATATGCTTTGGGGTAAAGATTTCCACCTGCCATCGCAGCCTACCACGGCCAAAAATCAGAGGCTGGCGATTTTCCTTTGTGGTCTGGATGAGCTGGCTCCGGGCTGGGCGTCGGGAGGTTTGGGATTCACCCTTTGGTGGAAGAAAGCACAAAGCCCTTCATTTTCTGTTTATAAACAGCCCCTGCCTGCTGACAGGCTTTAAATCATTACAGAGGAGGTCCCACAGTGGTTTTACAGAGGAACTGATGGACGGGTGAGCTATTGCAGGATGGGGAAGATGTTACAGGGACTGGGAGGGAGGTTGCAGCCCGCTGCCTTGCTCTGTGCCCAACTCTCCTGTCTGTCCCTCAGCACCTTGTCCCAGGTTCCAGCCCCTCTGCTCAGTTCTGTGACTCTGCCTGCTAATAGAAAAACATACTAAATGTTCCTCTCTTTGAAAGCCATTTAAATTTAAAAAGAAAAAGAAAAAAAAAAAAAAAAAAAAAAAGCCTCTGCAAACAATCTGCATTTTATCTCCTTAATGGCTCTACAGCCTCCACTTGTATCCAAAAATAATTGCTCTCAGCAAGGGCTTGAAGAACCTTCCTTTCAAATCACGGACCAGATGTTCCTCGGAGACCATTACACAGTTAACTACCAATAAAAGTAATTCCAGAAACTAAGCACTGGTTAAAGGACGCGCCCATGCAGCCCAGCACGGCTCGCAGCGGAGGAATGCGCTGTGCTATTTAACCTCTCGCGGCGCAGACGCGCTTCTCCCTTCCTCCTCGGCAGAGGCCGGTGAGCCAGGCGGCTGCAGAGGGTTGTTTTCTTTGCACTAGCTGGGAAGCCAGCTCTCCGAGGTTCAGCTCAAGTTGAGCCAGCAGCCAGACGGCCAAAAACCCAGCATTGCTTAAGAGGTCAGCGCCGCTTCCAGCCAGCCCCAGCGTGGCCAAGACAAACGGCGCCACGGCCTCCCCTCTGCAGGGCACGGGCACGCAGCAGCACGAGCAGGGGTCACCAGCATCCCCCGTGAGCCCTGCAGCAGCTCAGCTCCTTACCAATTTTTTCAGGGGCTGTGGGTCAGTGTCCTTTGGATGGGAAGGGGTACTGGTGCAGGGAGCACAACTGGAGCCTTCCAGACCTCGTTTGTCCCAGTGGACGGTTGGACCAGCGGGTCTTGGAGGTCTTTTCCAGCCTTAATGATTTGGGTCTCGCCACCTCTATGTGCCTCCTGGACAAGGGATCCTGCCTCAGCCACCCAAACCTTCACAGCACCTTCAGGGATGGTCAGAGGGGGAGAGGTCAGGAGGAAAAGCAACACCGCACTCGATCCAAACAGGAACAGCTCTGGCACATAACAGCCACGTCATGCCCTCTCCTGGACTGCAAATGGTTTTTCACCTTGTTTGTGCTCAGCGGTGCAAAAGCAAACTGCCAGAGAGGAGCCCAGAGAAGCAGAGAGCTTGCTGAGCCAAGACGATGAGCCTCGAGGAGCTGCCAGGAGGGGAGGGGGGGGAGAACACGAACACAAGCCCGTGAGAGCTGCTGGGGGTCCCGTGGGGAAGCACCAGGGGTGTTGTGCCTGGGGCACCTCTCCTCATCCACCTTCTCCACTTTTCACGTTTCTAAATGCTTCCTGCAGCACGGGAAGGGGGCTAAAGGTGTGGAGGGAGCAGGATGAGCCCCGAGCTCAGCATATAGCACATCTGGGGCCCTTCCCTGCCAAAAATCAGGGTCTGAGCATCTGCTGTCACCTGGGAGCCAGAGCCAGCAGCTCCCGACCTGCATAGAGGGTGGGAGGGGGCCAGGGGGTGGCCAGCTCAGAGGGCTCCAGGTGAGATTTGCAGCCAGAAGCACCACAAATTACCCAGGTTTTTCTCTGGGGTGGCCCAAGCTGTGGCATCACCTCTGTTTCCAGCTGCTCAACATGCCCCAAGAACAAACCCCTGACCCTGGGCCAGTCTTTTCCCAGTAGTCCTCATCTGCTTTAGGGGCACGATTTTGGGGGTACCAGCCTCAATCCCCGTGCCCAGCCTGGGGCCAGAACCAGGACGGAGCTGCGTTCCTGCATCCTGATGTGCCCGGACACATTTTCCAAGTGAAATGGCAAATACTTGGCTCCCCCGCCTTGTATTTGTGTTTTCTTTCTAATGTTGTGTGGCTGCCTTGGTGTTTAATCCCAGTAATTAATGAGACGGGGAGAAAAGAACAGTTCTCATCTCAATCTCCCTTCTGCAAACATTACAATCAGCGGGGTTGGCCTGGGTCATTTCTGTGCCATTTCCAGCAGCGAGAGGAAGGAGCGGCAGGCAGAGGCATTTACCTGCTGGCAAGCAAGACACATCTCTGAAGAAGATCATTTTAAAGCCAGCAATGTGTGAAAGAATTCAATTTATGTACATTTCCCAATATATTATGAAAAAATAAAAATAAAATAACAAAAAAAAAAGGAAAATGTTTTGTTGTAAAAAAAAAAAAAAAAAAAAAAAAAAAGGAAAACCTTCTGTTTATTAAAAAATGACTTTGCAAATGACCTGCTGGTTACTATCCGAAATAGAAAGGAAGTCCTTCTTCACACAGGATGTCATTGCACGTTTATTTAAAGCTTTAATGATATGTTTGGGGACATCATCCACGCCTGACTCTTTCTCCATTGCAACTGTCTGGAGGAGGGAGCCTTTTCTTCGCTCTTAAAATAGTAAATGAGGCCAATTATCTCACGGCAATTCCAAATGGTAATTTGATTCCTCTTTAGCTGTCCGGGTCCTATCACAGCAGGTTTTGCAGGTTAGGTTTGGGATCATCTCCCCATCTCCCTCCGCTTGGCTGAGCACCGCAGGGTGCCAGGGCACAACCTGGTGCCCGGGGGAGGTGGCACCAGCGCTGACCCATGAAATGTGGTCTCCTCCTTCAATGCTTCTTGTGTTGGAGATTCAAAGGAGATCCGGGCTGAAATCAGTGCCAAAGGTGGGCCAAGGGCAGAGGGAGCTTGGTCCAAGCGCCCTGGGGAGCACAACGAATGGGGTAACAAATAAAGCAGCATTCCCGCAGGAATGGCCCCGTCCTGCAAATCCCAAATCCCAAAGGCACAAACCCCAACAGGCAGCAGGAGCAGGCTGTGCCCAGGACAAAAGCCATGCCAAAAATTTGGGGCTGTGGCAGCAAGACCCCGGCAGCATTAAATAATAATGAGAGTGATAATTTGGCGTTCCAGCACGTGCGGAGCTGGCAGTCACTACCACTTTGGGAAGGACCGCAGGGCTTCAATTGAGTACAGATTAATGGAATCGATTTATTATTTTTTTTTTGTTTCTTTTTAATTAGTCTCATTAGAAACTAAACGATCTTCCTGCGGAGCACGCAAATAGCACAAAGACGCGGGCCCGGCTGATGGTTTTTCTCCCGGTGCAGTTGCTCAGAATTAGCGTTGCGAACCAGGAAAGATTTAATAGTGGTTTCTGGCAGAGATTAGCAGCGGGCAGCAGCTCAGAGAGGATTAAGAACGAAACAAGCATTAGGCAGTCTTGATGGAGAGTTTGTCAAAGTTGGTCTATGAGTTTAACGTGAATCAATGGAGGCTTTCAACGGGCTCACGTTGAGGGAGCCGTGTTTGTCCCCGGTGATTCATTCCGGCGTGTTCAGCTCCAGATTTGGTTAACTTCAGCTGGATAAGCTCCTCTTTTTTAAACAAAAACGGGGGAAAAAGTCCTATTGTTGGCCACAGGTCATTGCTTATTATTGGGGTTATTATGACAATGGTTTGAGGACAGTTTGAATCCTCGTGTTCAGCTGACGTTCGTGCCTGCGATTTTCTGACGTACTGTGGAAAATACAGAAAACTTGGTATTATACAAAAAAAAGTGACCTCCCCAATAGCTCAAGCCCCAAAGCTTCAAATACCAGAAGAACGGAGCAGAGCAATTCTGAA